CGATGACGCTGGTGAGGTTCCTTTTGTACATGGCGGAGAATTGACAGCTTAACTTCGGAGAATACATAAGGAGAATGGGTCCGGCGAAAGCGAAAGGAAACTTTTCCATCCGGTGGCTGCCACAGTGCAGCCGAGAGTCTGGTCGAGGTATCCCAGGACTGCGAAGCCGATCGCCGGAAGGATCGCATACCTGGGCGCGGAGTGTTTGTAATTTTTGGGGTGTAATTGTATCTCCTTCACGTCTCGGTAGCAACCCTTTCCAAGCGCAAGACCTATTCGAAGAAAAGTCGGGGCACGCGATGCCCCATGCCGGGAAGTCCTTCTCGATGCCCATGGGGTTCACGACCCAGGGCCTCTTCTCGCCGGTGGCCAAGGTCAGGGCCGGCGCCAACTCCGCCTCAACTTCGAGCATGCGCAGGTTCGTCTCCGTGGTGTAGATGGCTCCGATGGCGGAGGCGATCACCAAAGTGATGGTCACGGCGAAGTTGGCCACGAGGTTGCCTCAGCTCCAAAGGACTTGCTAGCAGCTTCCGCAGACTGCGGTCCCATTTTGATTCTCAACGTCCGAGCAGCGAAGGGAGCGGACGGTCCACGGGGTACGGCGGAAGTACGAGAGGTAGGACGCGCCTCCTTGGTGTGTCAGCTCAGGTTTAGGCCACCGGCTACTGGGGCATCTAACTGCCAAGCCACCGAAGGTGATGACGAAGAGCAGCGTCTCGAACATCGCGCTGCGCAAGGGGATCGTCTCCTCGATGAAGTTACGAAGGATTGGCAGGATGCCGTCGATGATGAAGATAAGACTGATCAGGCCCGCAAAGATGTCCTGCGAAAAATAATTACACTCGTAACGCTGTACCACAACGTGCGCCGTGATCGAAGCCCCCCAGGCGCCCAGGCCTGCGCGGCCCCTCCAAGATGTCACCACAGGCCGTTCGATTTGACTTACAAGGAATAAGTTCTCCAGCGGCACTTTGCACCCAAACCTGCCTGGTCCTAGACAATCAATCAGACCCTGCAACAGAACCGTCAATCTTTGTAAACCCGTCTTCGCTGAACATAGTCACGTGCTTCATCAGCGCGCAGAGATCGAAGACCGCCACCAGGATGGTGAACACCGAGGACCACATGCAGACCTCGTATTCAGACCCTGTGCACACCTTCTGCACAGGCACTCCGGCTATGTAAGTCCTACCAGCTGCCGTCATCTCAACTGTGCAGGTAAGGATCCCAGAAGTAGTAGGGCAGGAACTCCAACTCCATCTGGGCACGGGATGCTTGGACATACTGGGCTGCGGCCGGAAGGCCACGGGATTTCGGGCGATATGCAGAGGGGGAATGGGGGAAGGTGTTTGCATTGTGACCATTCTTAATGCTTCTGTCCTCGACAAGCACCTTGTACAAAAGGACCGACCTACTCTGAGCATCCTTCCCGATGCACGCGGATGTGCCGGAAAACTCGGGCGAAAGGCATCAAATCGTGCGGAAGCTCATCCCCCGGGTCCACCGAGGCACCGCATCCGCCAAGTCATAGACCACCAAGGAGTAGGCCAGGAACCTCAGCGAAGACTGCGACCGCAGGGTGCCACCCCCGGGTGTCCGCTCTAAGGCGACGAATCAAAGAGGCGTGGCTGATGGACTGGAGGACATCCACGAGTCCGGCTGGGGCACTTTAGGGCTGGTATGGACTGACGGTGAGACCAGATGAGACCACCTCGACCAGAGTGACCAGAGGTCTGAGTACAGTGAAAGACTACTGACCACAACCCTGACATTAGTGCATGCTGCCTCCCAGGGCACGACTCTGTAGCGATCCGAATTCCATGCGGGATCAACGGCTCTAGGCAACCTTTCCCGCAAACTTATCAGCACGCCTGAGCCCGGAACGGACCGGTTGCTCCCAGGATGGAGAGTGGCTGCCCAGAAAACCTGGGTGTCGCGTTCGGGGCCCGCAATTTGTAGAGGGGATGGGTGCCTAGAGATGCTCGCCCGGCCTTGTAACCAGCGAGCCGACTTTACACCGGGGTTTAGGGAAATACCACGGCCCTGAGATGCTACATGCCAGTACGGAAACTCAACCGATTGATGCTTCGTGGCTTGAAAGCGGCCCATGCGGCCCGGAAGAATCTTGTGCAACAGAAGGCGCCACTTACACTCACCCCTCCAATCACTCTAGGTTTAGGAAGTTTAGGCTTTCCGGTCTGAGGTTTGTAGTTTCGAGCTGTGGGCCGTCGCATGCCACCCCAAGCAAGTCCTGGAGTTCGCCGCTGGACCCAAGTCCTACATCTCTTGTAATACCTCAACCCTCAATGCTCCCAAAACCCTGAACATTTACTGTTTGCAGCGTAGCAGTTCGTCCTGCGGAATGATGAAAGAACCAAACCCCAAACCCACTCGAAGCTGAAACTCAAGGTTTCTCGGTGAAGCGAGTGACGTGGAAAAGAGCAGGCCGCTCACGCACGTGGACATGATCATCTCCAGTACCTCAGACAGTCGACCCTACAATTACCATGACACCTGGAAGCACAAGTAATAAGGGAACGAAAAGATAACTGACTCCGACATTTCAGATGCAGATTCTGTTGTCGCTGCTGCTGCAGCGGCGTCTGGGGTAGTGGTAAGATGGTGCTAGTCCTCGTCGATGTCAGCATCATCACCAACAACAACCAAATCATCATCAAAAACAACAATGACAACATCATCATCATCATGTCAGTCGTCATCGCCGTGGTCGCAAGCAACGACATAGTCGCGGAAGCGATCATCAATGAGTCCTGCTAGTCCTATTGAACTATGTCATTCCGATCAGCTTCCAAGGTTGGCCATCCCGTGGTAGCCGTTGTATGTACAACAGCTAAAGGCTAGAGTCATAGTAGCAGTAGCAAGAGTTGGGTCAGGTTCAGCAATCACGACAATGACTATCGGCAATACGGCGTCGATGCCTACTTCATCATCCTCAGACCTACATGATTATGCATTTTTTGATAAGCATGTACCAGTTCAAGAAAAATTTCGAACGTCAATCGTCTCCCGGGTCGTTTGCTCCTAACCGACTTGAACTCCAAAGCCTAGAATCCACACGATTATCAAGGCTGGCCTGCGAGGGTAGATCCATGAACCCATCAAATGACAACTCTCTGGAACACGTAACAGGCCGTACATCTAAAGAGATATGGGCTTGCGGACTTTTGTTCTGGACCTTCTAATGGGTCATGGTCAACTGCTCCAGAGCACTCCGAATTGGCCGTTGGTGCCGTCGAGGAAGCGGCTTCCGAACCTGGGATGCGTGTGAGGTGCGCTGCATTCTCGCATCGGGGGACAATGGTGTGACTTGCGGTGTAGGTCCAAAGCTCTGCAAACTCCGAAGGCTCGGCGCAAATCCGTGTAGAACCACTCGTAAAACCCAACATGACGCAATGCCCTGACAAAACCCATAGGAACCCTTAATGCCCAAGGCCTTTTGTCCACCTCTCAGCTAGATCATCAATGTATGGTGCAGGTGATGCCTGAACTTGCACCAAAGCTTCCAGCCCGAATCTGATCTCGCTCTTGTCACTTGTCACTGCAACAGCCAAACGCCAGTGCGAAGCCTCCCTGAAAGCTCGCACGCTAAGGCTAGCGACGTGATTGCAGGAGCAAGAGCTGCGATGAAGAGGTACAAGATGGAAGAAACCGATTTCTGGAGGTTCCTTGGACAGACCGCACTATTCTCGGGCGGTAAGGCAGGCTTGGTATGAGCAGGCTTCCTAATGGACCTGAATGTACGAAGGCATCTCAGGGCCTAAATGACCAAGGAAACCCAGGACTACCTCCTTCAGTTCAAGAGTTACCCCCATGCACTCTACAAAGTTGCCGTAAGCATTTCACAGTCGAAATCAAGTCGTCTTGCTGCATCCAGGTTTCTCGGCTTTGAACGCATCAGTCCAATCACTTCCATAAAGGGGCGCACGCCGGCGCAAGTCCAGACGAAGACCTTTGCTTGGTGCGATGGGGCTGTCCCCTTTGCGGTAAACCCTGACTTGTCGATACCCATGAACCGACACCCACAACCCCCTTGCAAGAACTCGAACGGGGCATGATGGGACCCAAATCCCAAAACTCGCCATCATGGGACTGGAGGAAAAAAGTGGTGTTGAGGGCACAGCGTGAATCAACTTGGCAGCTTTGGACTCTGTGTCAAAGGCGCTGTGCTTGATGCGTAGGGCATAGGGCCAAGACTCTCTCGGACCTAATCGCCCTAACAGAGGCCCTTTTCAACTCAGGACTGGCCAAGCCTGCGAGCCTGAGCCTCGGCGGAGTCCTGCCCTCAATTCGGAAAGTGCTGACAACTCGCTTCGAAGCTTTAGATGCTTGAATACCTCCCTCCAGCTACTAAGTCACCAGGGAAGGCATTTCAACCTGCGGGAACCTGTGCATTGTCCGCTGACAAACCTTCTCTTACCTTCTGTCAAGAAAGTCGCCACCAGCCACCTTGCCAGTGAACTCGAGCGGACCCAAGTCCTGCGAAGGTTCGAAGCACCGATAAAAGCAAAACTTTAGGCCTTTGGCTTCTTGGGGCCACCTCGCAGGAAGCACAACACTGGCACCCTGCTCCATCTATGGTCGCTCAAGCCAAAGAAGCGAAACAACTGCTCGTGGTCATACATCAACCACAAGAAACCCTGCAAGGACCAGGAGCTACGAGCTACTCAGAAAGAAAATCAGAAGCCTCGCTGTCTGAGCGTAAAGTGTAGAAGTGTAGTGGAAGTCCCCCGACTGTTCGGCTACTAGCCAAAACTCGCGAACTCTGCAGTCAAGTGGGATAAGGGCGTACTTTTGCGAGAACCAGCTCACCGTGTAACAAGCTGTACAAGGAAGGTTGCGGATCCCAAAGCCTACAAGGCCCTGTCCTTGATGGAGGAGCTTCGGATGTAGCCGGACTGGATTCGAAGCACTCCTGCTGCCTCAGACATGGCGAGCTACTTCTGCAATAAGCGATCCACTAGGCGAAGCGACAGTGTCGGCAGAAGCCTTGAGCCAAGATCAACCCTGGACAAGCACAGCTCGCCCTGGCAGTCAGCGTGCAGAATTGGGGGCAACTGCTGGCGATTCAAGTGCTCGTATTCCAGAAGTTGGCAAGTGTTGAAGCGCACAGTTCAATGTTGGCGCCCTATTGCTAGCCTATCTCACCAATGACGGCTGGTACTTTGAGTGCCCTGGGGGCTAGTTGTGCTATCCTGCGTTCGTTCTCAGGCTGACTCGAGGTGGTGCTACAAGGAAGCTACCGAGCTACAATGCTTACTGTAGCCCGGCTGTTTGGGGGAGGCCTGAAGGCTTCTCACACGCAGTGGGAAGAGAATGCTCTTTTGCCAACAAATCGAACAGTGGGTATCGGTAACAGCTACCCATTACATGTGGTGAGCTGCACCGCGTGACGACCGGGCGCAGAGGTCCTGCGAAAAAGGCGCATACTCTTCCATCGAGGCTGAAATTCTCTCTGCTCTAGCTGTCTGTCGCGAAGCCACATGCATCGCTTTATGGTTGGCCATCGACTCTTCAGTCTATCAGTTCTCGAATCATATCCGCGAGGAGTATGCCACCAAGCAGGTCCTCCCCAGTGTGTCGCCTTCGGCGACACAGAGAGCTCTGGAAGAAGCAAAGTCAGGTTGCAACCTGCTACCGGCCTCACAAGAGCCTGAGCCATGCAGTGCACCCAAGCTGAAACACCGATACTGAACAGCAAGACCTCAAGAAATCGTTCACGGTTTGGGGTATGGATTGCATCTGTATGGCCACACAAGGCTAAAAATCAAAGATTTTAGAAACGTTTGCCGATCCGCTGTGCCAAGCTGGCGCGCTGGTTCTGCGAATTAGATCCCATATACCCCATGAACGACTGCGAAAGTTCCATTGACTTCGCACCCTAGCAAGATACAAAGACCGTTCCTGCAGGGCCCATGAGATCAGTTCAACGTAGCTCAACGTAGCAGACCCCGAAGACGACAAAGGTCCAGTGGAGTCGAACGGATGGAAAATGCAAACAGTTGCTTGGGTTGTTGCCAAGTGCCGCCTCATCCCAAGACAAAGAACTCGCAAAATCAAGATTATTGAAAAGTCGCGAAGCTCCCCAGGACCGCACATGTGCACTGAAAACACGTCTAGAGATGCATCTTTTGCAGTTGCCTGCACTAGATTGAAGCAGCGTAGCTGTCCTCAGGCCGCTTCTCAGGAGCGCTTTTGGCAGCTGCAAGGGATCATTGACCCCCAAGCCTTGCAGTCTCCAGAAAATTGTTCAAACTCCGTCGGCAAACCTCCCCGGACAACCCAAAACTACAGGTATGCAGCCCTGAGGCCTCCCCAGACACGCACTGAATAATTGTGAGTGGAGGCATGCCGATCTTCTCACGAAGAACGTGTAATGTGGGGCGGCTTTTTTGCTTACAAGGACAAGCTCGTTGTCCCCGGTGCTTTCTCCTCAGACTTCGGCTTCTCCACCTTCTCCGGCATGCTGACCTCTGCATGTTACGCTCGCAGCATGCTGGCATACAGGGTTCGGAAAGCAGCCGATGCTGTCCTAGGGTTTCACGGCGTGCAATCGAGCATGTAGCAGCAGCGCAGGCTTATCATCTGCCCTTGACTGAAGCAAATCATCGGAGCTCCACAAACCGCACACATCGAAGCGGATCATATCACCCAGAGTGTGAAAGGTACAAAATAGGGGAATCAAGCACGAAAGCATCAAGTCAAGGACCTGCGGAGCTTTAGGTTCCACAACCCGGGACCACGGTGTGCTCCGAAGCAACGGCACTGAAACCCACCAGCAACACCCAAACGTAAATCTCACAGCCCAAAGCTCAGACCGGGAAATTCTTTCAAGAGGCATCAATCCTCTCCAAAGGCCTGCGTCTCCGAAATCCAGCTATGATTACTCTACCTACGAACATGCATCCAGACCCGCACAAACTCAAAACAGATCTTGGCAAGAGCTTGGAGGCCTCCTCCGTGACTTCTTGAGGCGCCTCCTCCTGTTGATAAGGCAAGACTGTCTTCTCAGGCAGGTCCAGGGCTTAGGTTCTTTGTGACTGCTGGTGCTACCACGACGAGACTTGCATCGATGACCGCTGCGGAGGAGGATTGGGATTGTCGTAGAGAAGAAGAAGTTGAAGACGAAGGTGAAGATGAAGGTGAAGAGGCAGATGAAAATGAAAGTCAGCAAAAAGATGGAAGGAAAGCTGATAAGAATAATAAAAAGAAAAATAAGAATGGTTAGACTTATTTTTGCAATAGTAATGTTTAGCTGACAACAACAACTCTGATACCTTGCTGTTCGCATTCTTATGACTACCAAGCATCGCAGCTATACATCTATGCTACCCTTGCTACGAATCCAATTCCTGTTCCTGTTTACATTGACTCCGATCGTGATGATGATGACTACGATGATGATGATGATGAGGAGGAGGCGGATGAGGATGACAATGCAGAACAAGAAGAGGGTAAGGACGGCGCTTGTGTGTGGGCGCTCCAGAAGACAGGATTCGGGGCTCAGAGAGAGAGAGAGAGAGAGAGAGAGAGAGAGAGAGAGAGAGAAACAAACAGACGGACAGACAGACGGAGAGACGGACAGACGGAGACGGACAGACAGACGCACAGACGGACAGACAGAGACAGATGCCCGAACTCCAGTTGCTTCGATTACGATGCCTGGCTCCATGTAGGCCTAGGTCAAGAGAAGATGGCAGGTCGGGTCGGGCGCCTTCGTGGGCTCCAGGTTCAGGAGGTCGGGCTTCGCCGGCTCCGGCTCCTCCACCTGGGCCCGGAAAGACCGGAGCCCAGAAGCTCCAAACACAGTCCTGGAGACCCTTGGGCCTCATCGGGGTCCTCGGCGGGGTGGCCGTCCAGCTGCTTCAGCTCCTCCTCGCTGAACATCCAGCGCATGGCCTCGCCAGGAGAGATGGCGGGTTTTCGCAACGCCACACTTAGCGTGCAACGTTGAGACGCGAGTTAAGGTCGTCGCCCCAGAGTCCAGCCTTTGGAACCTTCGGCTTATACCTTTGGTCCGCAGAGGACTGCCCTGAGCAAGTGCATGAAACTTGCCTTCGTATAGAGGACTGGTTTACCTCTGTACAGAGCATCTCACTTAATCCCCTCCCTTAGCGAGTTTCGCACGCAGATGCCCGAGGGCTTCGATGCTGCTTCGGGCTTTGGGGCTGTGGATCCGGTGATCTCCGCACCTTGCGGATGATGGCCAGGGATGCCATGAAGAAGGGGAAGACCACGGCAGTCTCCTGGCATCGAAGTCTGGTTCCAGACCCCAAACACGTCACCAGGAACCCTCGCATCGGGTGGGTCCTTGATCTCCTTCAGTCCATAGAGGATGGCCAGGCAGATGAACTGCAGACACGTCGGTTGGGGCTTCGAGCGAAGGTTCGGTGCAGCCCAACAGCCGATGACTTCGCTGCTGGAGGCTTTACAGGACGAGAAGCTTTCGAGGAGGGGGGCCTTTTGTTGCTTTGTCATGGGACGGAGCCTTCGCATGTCATGAAACCCCTTTGAACGAACCGAAAGCTGCGGCCCCCGTCCAGCATCCAGAATCATAGCCTGCACGAAGGTGTAGAGGTGGACCCTGCTCACGGGCAGCTTCTGGATGTAGTGGTACGACGGATACTTAGCGGAGTCCCAGATGAGCCAGAGCTTCCTCAGGTCTTGGGAGCGCTTTGCACAGCAGCCCCGTATTGACGCCTGCACGGTGTGACAGCCTTCGCGATGGCCTCTTATGGCACATGTTTCTCGATGCCAACTGACAGACAAGACGCCTGGCCGACAAAGAAGACACGCAAGCCCGTGGATCCCGCGCCAAGCCTTTTGCATGCAGAGGGGCATGCGGTCGAAGAGGTTGTTTCCCGTCAGGGAGGCGATGCCCATGTAGAAGAAAACGCCCTGGAGGACGGCGCGGGGAATGAACTTCCTCAGCAGACGAAATCCGCTCAGGAAAGAGGCAACGGCAATGTTGTTGAAGTTCAGGGATTTCTGGCTTGGCCGTGCTGGCGAAACAAACAGGACGCTTTTGGCGCAAGTTTGAGACTCACCCGTTTCGGCGTTTCGTTTAAGACCAGAGCTCTGTTAAATCGGGCCGTGTTCTGGATGCATCGCACCATGCAAGTGCAAGAGGCTGGGGCATGGAAGAGACATGCAGAATTCATGCAAAGCCCCCCTGAACTCCAACATGGAAGATCAGTCAAGATGCAGAACCGGTGCCATGAACAAGGCGCAGCCGATGAGCACGTGGATCCTTCCAGGCTCTACAGATTGATGGACGTCGATACTTTAAGCAGTTGCAACCTATCGAGACTCGAATGCAGCAGCTAATCTCCCAACCTCCTCAAGAACCTGACATTGCCTGAAGCCTGCACGCGGGTCTGAAATTCATCCACCGCAAAAGGTTTCAACATCCACCCTGTTGCATGCCACGATCTGCCCCGTTTCAAGAAGCATACTCCAAGAGCTCACCTGCTCCTGCTCCTAACTGTCCATGAACCCGATCCCCAACCGTCAGCCCGGGCACAGGAAGTTCGTGGCACGTTGCTCGACCACCTGTCCGCGGCATTAAAGGGGCTCGAGGTTCCACTTCAGAGTTGAAGCCGTGGACATGCCATCACAAGGCTTTCGACGGCTTCTAAAACTGCTCTGCGCGCAAGCTCACCTAAAGCCGGGCGCACCGATGACAAAGCCGACATCTTTGGCAAACTGAGCAAAACGAACCAGAGCTGGAACAGAAACTTCGACCGGCAGCAAAGAAGTGCTGACAGATTCGCCGAACACTACATACGCTCGCCGAACACTACATACGCTCGTCTGGGTAAACACTCAACAACTCCAAGAACCATTCACAAGACGCCACAATGTGCTAAAGGCGTCTACAGTCAGAAATGATCAGTGCACAGTGCTACCGCCTGGAAAGCTGCAAGCCTCGAACCCTGAGCAGGCCTTTGTTGGTACTTTACGCTCGCCCTGAGGAAGCTGCTGCACCTCGGCTTTGGGTCCCGCGGATCAATACCTATCGATGGGGGCTGTGCCGGCTTTTACGGAGCCGTGAGCCAAGGCCCTCCCACAAATCCTTCTGCCATTATATTTCTATACAGCATTACATTACATTTCATTTCATTACATTGCATTACATTACATTACATTGCATTGCATTGCATTACATTACATTGCATTAAAATAAATTAGACTAAAGTCGATTAGATTAGATTATCTTATCTTATATCGTAATACATTGTATTATAGTATATTATAGCATATTGCATCATATTGTATTATATGATACTGTTTTATATTGTACGCTATTGCTTTATATTATATTGTATATTACTACAATATAATATAACACTATACATATACTATATCTTGCTTTGCATATTATGTACTATATATTTCATATTTGAGTATACACTATATACTATATTACATGTGTCACTGGTTGTGCTTGCTTGTGTGTTTGCTGTCTGTCAGCAGTACCCCGCAAGAGCGCTTTACCAGCATGTGTGCCTCGCTATCCGTTCCGGAGCCTTGCGCCCTGACCGCGCTCCTCGCGCCCTGACCTCGCGGCCTCGCGCCCTAAGGCATTGTCAAGTCCGTTATGATCAATTTGCTGCATCGCGGGCAAGTGCACGGCACATCTTGAAATTGTATATTGTGGTCTGACTTGGGTACGGTGCCACTCACATCCACTGAGGAGCGTAGACCTCCGGATACCAAGTGGGTCATTAAGTTGAAACTTATTGCATAGCTTGGAGATGGACATGGATTGTTCCAGATGTGCTGAGGGCACTTGCAGGTGGCAAGACATTGGCCAGGATACGTTGGGTGCCTAGGAAGAGGTGCGGTGGCTCAGGCCCTTTCGCCACATGTGTGCGCGGCTGGCGAGCTTCGGTTGAGGTGTCTTGGTTGGGACGCGCCGATTGCGTGGCTGCGTTGATTCTGCAGTGGTATGATTTGGCTGGCTGCAGACACGAACGAGGGCCGAATGTAACTGGTTATGTTTGCTTGTGTGTTCGCCGTCTGTCAGCAGAAGCCCGCAAGAGCGCTTTGCCAGCATGCGTGCCCTTCTATCCATTTGCTGCATCTCTGGCAAGTGGACGAGAGGTGCGCGGGCACATCTTGAAGTTGTATATCGTGGTCTGAGTGGGGTACGGTGCCACTCATGCTCACACAATATATTATACCTTAGATTACATATTGTATGCCATATATTCTATAAAATCTATTACAATGCACATGATATTACATATTATGTCTCATTTCACATATCATAATGTTGTATGTTTATTAAACTACATTGAATGATATAGTATTGTATTACAGTATAGTAGATTCTCATATATCAAAACCGGACACATTGCAAGCCCAGCTTCAACACATTACATAATCTTAAAATATCTAATGTAACATCGTGTATTGAAATATCAAGTATATTATACTACATGTATATATGCATATATGTTGTATCCCACCATGAACTACCGACCCTCGTTGTGTATCGTAGTTACCGTGTTAAACCAAGCAGGTCCGGATTCTGTATCTCTGACAGACTGCCAAAACCAAACTCACATTTCAAGAGAAGGGACCAGGCAACTCGTTCAAATTGGACGTGAGCACGCACTCAACGGCAACACTGTACTCTTCCAATCAAAACCAACCGCCGAGCAACTCGTTTAGGTTCGACGTGAGCACGCACTTAACGGGAACACTGTACTCTTCCAATCAAAAACCAACTTCTTCCGACGGAGAACCAAAAAAAATTTTGAAAAACCTATACGGCCAGACTCCAGAAAGATTGTTTTTTTGGTTGTCCCGAGCACAATTGGTTTTCGGGTGCAAAAACCAAAGTTTGCCTAGAAAAAAATGGTTTTGGGCCGAAAACCCATCCTGTTCACAGGAAAAATGGTTTTGGGCCGATAACCAATTTTCCTAAGGAAAACCAAACCAAAAAACTTTTCTGGGAAACCATACGGCCAAACTCCAAAACCAAGTTTTTCCGTGCAAAACCCAAATTCTTCTTAGGAAAAAGATGGTTTTGAATTTTGGTCCGAAAAACCAATTATTTCCTGCAAAAAAAGGGGCGTTTTGGAGGAAAAACCAAGTGCTCCTAGGGAAAACCAGAAAGACATCTTCTGCGAGTCTGGCCGTTTAGTTTCCCAAAAAATGTGTTTATTTTCTGTGATTGTTTGGTTGTTCTTAGAAATTGGGTTTTCGGCCCAAAACTTCCTGGGGAAAGTTTGTATTTCATTCCAAGACCAAATTTTGCCTAGCAAAGAGTGTGTACTTCATTTGTTGTTCGCCCGCGTTACGAATTGGTGTTGCCCATAAGGTTCGTCGGGTGTCATTGCTATTGGGATTCGATTCCCCAGGTAATAACCAGGACATTATTCGGATCAGCTTTGGGGTATTTAAGGAGCCAGTACGGCAGGCTTTACACAGCCCAGGATATCAGGGCTATCACAGCTACCACTACGATGTTTTCTAGCTGACTAAGTTGTAACTTGAATGAGAGAAACATCGTAGTCAAATTACGGGTGGTACGAAGCCTACTATGGATGGTCTTAGGAGGGCTGCTGCCAGGGCGAATACCATTGACGTAAGGGCAAAGGACAAGGATGGGGTGAGGGTTGATGTTGTTTGGAATCAGGAGTCAATCAACGATCCTCGTCATTATGCTGATATCTAGTACAAGATTAACCTCCACATAAATGTACATACACGCATACGGGCAAGTCCGACAGCAAGTCCGATACGATCATATGCCATGACTTTGCATTTGGGGACTTGAAGGCTCGCGCTGGGGATCCCACAGCTACGTTTGGATTAGTTAACCTGTTGATGAGGTCAATGGTCGGGGTTTCTCCTAAACCCATTATTTGGGTTTGCTGCTGAAGGACTCATCCGGTGCAGGGCTGGGTGGCTGGGTGGCATGGAAAAGTCTTGGTTCTTGTCTTGGCCGACGCGGCCTCGTAGGTGGTCAGCGAGATCACATGCGTGATGCTGGGCACCGTGGAAGCCACGGACAACGGCAGGCCAAGCCTGAGTTTTGGGAGCTTGAGTCATGGCTGTCCCTCACGTTGCTTCACTCGCTCGAAACACATGAGCTCATGGACAATGTGAAAGAGCTTAAGAGCTTCCAACAGACTCCAACGAATGAAAGAACCCCGAAACTTGAAGCAAACCCCTCCAAATGCTCGGCTAGTTATGGGCCCCTTGGGTCGCTTTGCTCTTTCGGCAGTTAGGTGGCACAGCGCAGACCGGCGTCGTCAGGGCACCCCGAACGAACAGGTCCTGCGGCAAAGCTGGCCATTTGTGGCTTTCTCGTTGCTGCTAAACTGTTTCTGTTTTGTTCGCAAACTGTTTTTCTTCGTCCTGTGGCCTTCTAGACTTGCTGAATTTCTGGATGTTATTCGGCAGGTGTGTCTTTCCTTTTGGTGTTAACTGTGTCTTCCTGTGTCTCCGTCAAGCGGCTGCCGGCTGCAAAACCCCAAACGCTGAATGCTAAACTCCAATCGCTACAGTAAACCCCAAATCCAAAAACCCGAAACCCAAAACCCGAAGTCCTAAACCCTAGACTAGACGTAAACTCTAAAATCTTAAACCGAATCCTAAGCCCTCAACCCCCAAATCGCAAAGCCTGCACACCAGCTCCGAAACAGCAAACCCTAAAACCCGGAATTCCAAAATTCAAACTCAAGCGCAACGCGCTGTTAACGTCCAAAACGACGCGGTACACCCAAGAAGCCACCGCACCCCAAACCCTGAACCCCAAATCATGAGCCTCAACCCTAGCGAGAAGACTTTGTCAAAGCAAACGACACGTTGAACGGTTAACAGAGAAAAGAAAGACGGTGTTGATGGTCGGGTCGGTCCAGGTGGTAACCAGGCGGCTTGGACCTGAGACGTTCGACGAGCAGGTGATTGCGCTGGCTTTAACTTTCGATTGTCGCTTGGGGCATGCATGTTGGATCAACCGGTGCTGACGCGAAAACGTGGGCAGAACTGCGATGAAACAGGCCGACCGCCAAGCAGTTCAAAGGCTCGGGCCACGTGCGCCTCAATCGAGAACCTCAACGCAAGCCAAGCCACAGGCCGTTGGAGGGGCGGTTGACGATGACGCTGGTAAGGTTCCTTTTGTACATGGCGGAGAATTGACAGCTTAACTTCGGAGAATACATACAGAGAATGGGTCCGGCGAAAGCGAAA